AAAAAAAATAAAAGGGATACGTGATTAGGTATTTTTGTCATGATGGGAGTCCAGAGCCAAGGCTGCATAGTGGAGTAGACCTGTGGAGGAGGGATTGCAAAACAATAAAATAATTTTTCTTTTCCAAGAGGGTAGTGTACTGGGGGAAGGGGTGTGCAGGGAGAAAAGTGCATCAGTGAATGAATGGAAATCCAAAGTCTCTGTAAATTATCATTGAAATTAATAATAATAATAATAAAAACTGATCTGTTACTTCACCACCACCACTCAATAATCAACTGAACGGTGTTTATCTTTGACTCTTGTTTGGGTTCCAGCCTAGCAGGGGAAGTGTCTCAGGAGAACTGTTTACAGAAAGACTAGGAGTCCAGCTGAAAAACAAGGAACAGGCTGTATCCGGAGGTGGTGGCCTCTATTCATCGTTGGGTCTGCAATGCCATCAGCCAGGCTAGAGAGTGTGCATTCAGGCTTATGGCAGTTAAGTAGTTAATAATCAAACTGATACTGATCGCAAGGGGTTCTTTGTTCTGCCCACGAAATACCCCTCAAAGAAATCCAAAAAACGTCTGAAATTTTAAGAGCGTTTATTATAGTTTATTATATTATTCCCATGCGTGGGGACTTTTCTCCTTCCTCAGGAAGGTGGTGAAGGAAGAAAAGCCTCGAGTTTCCCCTCCCACTTGCTTTTTTTATTTTTTATTTTATTTTATTTTAATTTTTTTTTTTGTGCGTGTACCGTCAGATCAGATATGACTGGTACAGAAGGAGATTGTCCCTCCTTCTCCAGCAGAACATCTGGTGGATTCAAACCGCGTACCTCTGGGATTGCAGTGCAACTTCTTGCCACTAGGCCACCAGAGCTCCCCCTCCCACTTGCTTTTATAGCTCTTTCTTGAGTGCCCCTGTTAGGGCAAAGAGATTGGCGGGCCGGGGGATCAGTCATTTTGTGGGCTTTTGATGGGCTGGTTACTTTGCCCACCTTTACTTCTTCTGTGTCACGTAGACACTAGTTAATTCCTTACTTTTCAAGGACAGACCAGGCTTTACCCGGGGCACTCGTGTTTGCCCTAAGCGAAGAATTTTTATGGCCCGCTGCTGCCTCTAGCGTTAATGGGGGTTTATAAAAAATGGGGTTTCTGCTGTCCCTTCATTCTTTCCATCATCAATCACCAGTCATTGCACACAGTTTGAGCATGTTGTCAGGAAGAGAGAGCCTTTGAAAAATGACATCATGCTGAGGAAGGGGAGGAGGGTGAGAGGAATAAAGGAGGACCTTCAGCAAGGCGGGCTGACATGGTGACTGTGTCGTGGTGGCTGGCATCGTGAGGATGGCGCAGGGTCCGGCAACGTCTCCAGCTCTTGTTTACAGGATCATTTTGAGTCGTAGTGTACTACTTGATGGCACCTAACAATGACAACAACAACATAAGTTATCACAAGCCTAGGGGTTGATTAATCCATTGAGAATATCTTTTTCCCAGCAGAGGGTTGGTTGGGACGGTCTCCCACCATTTACAGATGAAGGTGGGGAGCAGGGGGAAGGGAAAGTGAGGAAGAGGAGGGGAGAGAACATGAGAAAGAGACAGAAACATATGCCTGTCTCAGCTGCCCCGAGGTGGAAGCTAGAGATGGGATGATGGAGAAGAGTACTGAGTATCCACGCTGAAAGAACAAAGAGAGATATTCGTGGAAAAAGTGGAGCCGGTGCTCTCCTCAGAGGCAAGGATGGTGAAGCTTCATCTCACTTACTTTGGCCATGTTGCTAGGAAAGGCTATTTCTTGGAAAGGGACATCATACTTGGAAACGGGGAGGGTCAGTGAGAGAGAGGAAGACCCTCAGTGAGATGCATTAACACAGTGACTGCAGCAATGGGGTCTAGTGTGTCCGGGGTGATAAGGTTGGCACAGGATAGGACAGGGTTCAGAGCTGTTGTTCATAGGGTTGCTATGAGTTGTATGGGACTCAATGGCACCTAACAACAACAACAACACCAATAACAATAACAATATATTGGCAGACACTGTTATAAAACAGGACTGATATGGGTTGGGGGGAAATGAAGAAATGAGGGAATAAATAATGAACACTGCATTTAAACAGAAGAGGGAAAGAATTGTCTAAAAGAAATATATGATTAGGTATTATTTGCATGAAAACAATCCAGATTAAGAAGTGCATGGCAAAGTGGACTGGGGAGTGGGGGGAGGGAGGAAATTGTGCAACAGTGAAAGAATCTTTTAAAAGAGCAAAGTGAACTAGGAAGGGGGTAGGGAGGAAAATGTGCAACAATGAATGAATGAAAATCCAAGTTTTCTGTAAACTTTTGTTAAAATATTAATATAATAAACCAACTATGAGATATCATCTTACCCCAGTAAGAATAGCAAAATTTAACAGAGTAGCAAACATAAAATGCTGGTGAGATTGCAGAGAAACTGGAACCCTTATTCACTGTTAGTGGGAGCGTAAAATGGTGCTACCACTCTGGAAGGCTGTATGGCGCTTTCTCAGAAAATTGGAAATAGAAATACCATTTGACTCAGCAATTCTACTATAGGAAATATACCCTAAAGAAACCATAACTGCCATTCAAGCAGATACATGCACATCCTTGTTTATCGGCTTTGTTCACAATAGCAAAAAGCTGGAAACAATTCAAGTGCCCATCCACAAAAGAATGGATAGAGAAGCTCTGGTACATGTATTCACACAATGGAATACTATGCTGCATTGAAAAACAAGGAACGCATGCACCATTTTACAAAATGGGTGATCTTGGAGAACATTATGCTGAGTGATATATCTCAGTCACAAAAGAATAAATATTGCAAATAGTGCCACTTGTAAAACAGGACTGACATCAGGGTTGGGGGGAGACTGAGAAAGAGAGGATAAATAATGGATGCTGCATTGAAACAGATGAGGGAGAGAATTGTTAAAAGAGATGTATGATTAGGTATTATTGTCATGACAGGAGTCCAGAACGAAGTCCATAGTGGAGTAGACTTGGGGGGAGGGATTCTATAACAATGAAAGAATTTTTCTTTTACTTTTCAAAGAGTGAATTGGGGAGGAGGGGTGGGCAGGGAGAAAGTGCAACAATGAATGAATGGAAATCCAAAGTCTCTGTAAACTTTCATTAAAATTAATATAAAAATATTAATACAAAGATAATAATACCCCCCCAAAACCCTATACTTTGGCAGAAAAACTGTCCCCTTTCCTCGTTCACTCTGGCCAGGTCTAGATCCCTTACCTGGATGCAGATCCTGGTGATGGGGGAGGACACGCAGTTGGACTTCTTACCTGGGACCCTGAACCTCACCACTAACTGATTCCAGGAGCCCAGGGTCTCGTGGCAACATTGCTGGAAGCAGGGCCAGTAGGGACAGTTGTGGCCACAGACACGGGTCTGGTTCAGGAGTAGGATAGTCCCTTCATCACAGCACTGCTCCAACGGGTTGTAAATCTTGTCTCCACACTTGGGCACTGGCTGGCACATCCACAGTTCAGAGTCTGGGGGAGTCAGAACTGGAGTGGGCTCCCAGGTCCTGTCCCTGGTGTCTGGGAACCCCCATCAGACCCACAGAGCTGCCTTCTCTCTCCTTCCTCCTCAATATCTCGTCTGTCCTTACCTGCTTGCCCTTCTGAGCTAGAGCATAGAAGTTCAACAAGGAAAACAGCAGCTGGGAAGTAGAAGAAAACGAATGGGAGCTTATCAATCTGATGCTCATGTGGCACCAGAAGTCCCCATGATATCGCAGAGTTGGTCTTTGAGCTTAGAGTGGTCCTTGAGGCTGGGCTTGGGAGGGGAGAAAAAGCAGGGAGGGTTCTGGAAAGAGCTAAGATTCAGAAATTTGCAGCTTGGGAGAGAGAGTGATGATGTCAGAGATAATGAGAAGATGGGAAATCCACAACAGAACTGGGGGAGAGAGAAGCAGGTTTGAGACGTGAAGATCGAAGCAGAATGCAATGAGTGTTAGTGGGGACTTGAGGACTAGGACTGACTCACCCAAGATCCGAGGCACCATGCTTCCAGGCTAGGCTGCAGGGTGGTGGGAAAAAAGTCACAGAAGGAGGAGGCTGGGACAATGGCTGCTACTTATAAACAGCCACACCCGGGGAATCTGTTTTGCCATATCTCAACAGAAGCGTGGGTATTTTCAGAAAAAGAGAGATAAGTATAACTGCGTGCAAAAAAACCCAAAACCAAACCAACAACCAAAAACCCCCACCACAAACCAAAGCAGCCAAACTTGAATAAATTGAAGTCTTCTAAAGCAGTTTTAGCGGACTGTCGGACTGTCGTGTTGCCAAGCCCTTCGCCTCAAGGTAAATGTTACCTGCAGCTCTACTTGCAGCCTTTGATGAGGGTCTCCTTTGACTAAGGGGAATGCCAGTTGTGAAAAATCCCTTGGATTTCCCTCCCATGTGTGCCAGCCCCTTGCCAAGAGGCAGCTGTTTCTAGACTTCCTCCACTACCTCTACACGCTCTAAATGTCAACCTCCTTTCAAGCCTGCAATGCTTATTTTTCAGAGTCTTTAGGAAGGTGCATCAGGAAGCCTCAACTTCACCATGAAAAGCTCACTCACTCACTCACTTGTTGCTGTTTGAATTAGAGGTAACTTACAGCAGAACCTCCAGAGGTTTGCACGAACAACAAAGCTGAAAATACTCTCTTCTTTCAACTGTAAATAACAGAGTGCCTACGAGGGACTGTGCTGCCTCCTCAAAACTGTTCGGATTAGCAGCCGGATGTTTCTGAGAGGTGAGGGGACAGATTCAGGGAGGGACAGACCTGGGTAAGATGCCTGCACTTCAGCCCCTAACCGCAGATTCACCAGATTCACTGAACAGAATCGCTTGCTCATAGACTTCCAAAGTCAAGAAGATGCAACCAGGAAGCTGAAGGGCGTGATTAGAAAACGATGCGTCCTTGGCGTGCTTCCCAGATTGTTTGTAGAGAGTCTCCTGGAATATGCCCATCCTCGCCGACAACAGAAGAGCAAATGTCAGAGCCCCAATACGGATCGAAATATCATATGCAGGGGCATGGCGATGTTGAGGTTCAGTGCGTAGTGGTTCACCACACTGAGGATAAAGAACATGGTGAGCATTACCGCGTAGTACCTTATTGGGATAGCTGGCCGCGTCCTTTCCAAGTCCACTTCAAAGAGAAGGCCTTCCACAGCTGTATAAATAAAAACTGGAAGACCACGGTGCTGCAGCAGCCTGCGAACACCACGCGCGAATGGTGAGCGCGCATTGCCGAGCGCGCCGGGCAGAGCGCGCTACCCCCAGATGCCGGGCCGCTCCCACCGCTGCGCCTCCGTGCATCACCGAGACCCTGGGCATGCTGCTCTCCACCGGGCCTGTCCCTGTAGCCGGACTATTTATTTATTTTTAAACATCAAACATGTTTTCTTTTTAGTTTCTCCCCATTTGTGCACATTTTCTTCCTCCCTCCTCCAGCCCTCTCCTCAACGCATCCCTTATTCCAGACTGGTGTCATACAATATAAATGCCTAATCATATGTTCTTTTCAGACAGTTCTTCCTCTCGTCTTATCTAATACAGTGTTCATTATCTATCCACTCATTTCCCCTTCTATCCCCAACTCCACCACGTCTGCCCGTCTGCCCTATTTTAGAACAACAGTGTTATGCAGTATTTGATCTTTTGTGACTGAGATATTTCACTCAACATAACAACCTCCAGAATCCTCCACATTGTGTATTTTTTGTTTTTAAAATTTTATTTTATTAATTTTAATGAACATTTACAGAGAATTTGAATTTCTATTCATTCATCGTTGCACTTTTCTCCCTGCCTACCCCTCCTCTCCAGTTTGCTCGTCTTTGAAAAGTAAAAGAAACATTCCTTCATTGGTATACAATCCCCATCCCCACCCCGCAATGCCCCAAGCCACCGCCACTAGTACATACACTCCACTATTGTTGTTGTTGTTTGGTGCCGTCGAGTCATAACTCTATGAACGAAAGGCCTGAGCACTGTTTGTACATAGTTTCCAGAGGCAAGCCATTTAGGAAGTGGATGCTGCTCCTGCTTCCAGGCTCGTTTTAGTCGGGAAGCTCCAGCCAACACTGTCCACCATGGGTACCCATTACCATGATTGGCACATCACTGTCACAGTCTTCAGCATCACAGCAACCATGAGTTACCTCTGTACAGGAACACACAGACCAGTGCTACACCACCTGGAAGAATGTTTGATAGGAAAACAATTTGAAACCTGGTTGGCTCCTCCCAGGGTCTCTGGAACTTCTCCTTGCCAGAAGGAGCATGGTGGTGTGAGCGCGGGAATCATAGTGGCAAGCTTTTGGAGTCGAGTGCTTTTCCGGGCATGTGTTTGGCATGCAGGTTTGCTCCGCCCC